ATTTCTTTTGCAGGGTCTAGGTCATGAGCAATTGGGCTGCTAGAATGGTGCTGACATGCTGATTTTGAGTGAATCCCTTATCAGACCCAGGTCAAGTTCAGGCCTTTGGGCTACCATCACTCCAGGGTCTGTGAGATGACTCTGGCCCATCTATGTTTTGACCAGGGCGTCACTTCTCATCTGCAACACCAAGAGTGGCCGCGGTGGTAGCAAGCATTCTTTACCTGGTGCCAACCTCCACGAGCACCTGTGGCATCACTCCACCCCATTGCCGTCTTCTGTGGTCTAACGGGTCTGTCATTTACACCCCAACATTCTGAACGATCAATATATGACCCCAAAACAAGTGACTCTTCTCATCTCCTCCACATTTGGTAAGACTTGCATTTATGGTCAACAGTGAAGCGGATGAGAGCATGCTAGAGAATCACTGGAATCCAGGATTCATGGATGATACAATGGAAGATACAGAGTCACGGGTAATAATGCAACTGACATGAAATAAATGGTAGCAGAGAACTGCAGGGGTGAAAAGATCCATATTGTTTCAATGCAAATAGGTGCCGAAAAGCCGTGGCATTGTGACTAAAAACCTTTTTCTCCTGGTGGGGGATAAGAAACGGACCAGGAATGACCTATTTGACAATAAAGAACATGAAGAGCTGGTTCCTAGGCCTGAGGAGGAAAAGATGGCTCTCTGCACACTGATTGGACCATAAGCAAACATGCTGGTACCTGTTCTCTATCGTTACTTGATGTTTTCAACAATAAATCACAATACCTCATATAGGCCAAGAGATCTGTGTTACATTTGAAAATCAGATTGTTTATATAGACATGGGTTCCCCTCCTCCCCCACAAATTTGCCCAAGGCTCTGCACACGCTCAGGGCAGCGCTGACTGGGGAGATAAGCCTGTTCTTGCGAACGAGAGTTCAGAACATCTTGCAGCGGCACAGGAGGCCTTGGCAGCCATCTGGTCCCAAGCCTGCTCTTTGCAAATGATGAGGGACTGAAACGCAGCAGCGACAGGTGCCTGTATCTAACATGGACGAGCTGCAGGTGCTGGGAGCTCCCCTCCACTCTCTCTAGGTGCAATGGAAAAAATATCCTCAGGTGAGGATTAACAAAGCAAAAATAAAAATAAAAAACAAAAACAACCCCCCCCCCACACACACCACAGACAAATACATTTAATTTTTTAAAAATATATTTTATTGATTTTTTACAGAGAGGAAGAGAGAGGGATAGGAGTTAGAAACTTCGATGAGAGAGAATCATCGATCAGCTGCCTCCTGCACACCCCCCACTGGGGATGTGCCCGCAACCAAGGTACATGCCCTTGACCGGAATCGAACCTGGGACCCTTGAGTCCGCAGGCCGACGCTCTATCCACTGAGCCAAACCGGTTAGGGCAATACATTTAATTTTGATAATTATAAAACAGGATGAGTTAGGCCACCGTGGAGGTAGTGTCAGGAGAGCTACACAGAGGAGGTGCCATTGAGCTGGGCTTTGAAAGGTGAATAGGAGTTTGCTACACAGAGAAAGAGGGGCGAAGGCACTGAGGCTGAGGAGGGAGCTTGGCCCAAAGCATGGAGCCATGAGAGTGTCCGGAGAAGACCAGAGCTACACACCCTTAGTTACTCCACAGTGTGGAACACATTCCTTCAGCCTCCCTCTGGTTTCACCTGCAGCTCAGTGGATGGTTTGAGAAAGCTCAGGCTTGAGCGGACTGCATCAAGTAAGCTGGGGTGGGGGTGGGTTCTTTCCATTTCTGCCCCAGGGCATTCTTCAAGCTGAAGTAACGTCCCAGGGGGCAGCCCTCAAACAGGGAGGAAGAGAAGCCTGTGGACAAATGCCTGCTGGCTGACTCCGGCAACCAGTCCTGGACCCGTCCCAGAAGTCGCTGGGGAAACTGGCCCCCTTCCCTCCAGCCGTGACCTTGAGAACACACAGCATAAAGCCAGTCTTTATATTGGCTCTTCCTCCTTCCCAATCTCACTACCCACCCCCGGCCACTTCGGCTTCCTGGGACACCTTCCAGTGAAACCACCCGCGTCCAGCTCCTTTGTCAGGCTCTGCTTTGGGGAGAGGCCAGGCGAAGATGGGCCATGTGCTGGGGACCAGAGTGGGAGGCATTGTGGTGCAGACACTGCGCCACAGAAAGCGCACACGTTTCTGAGAGGCTTCTGCGGGCCAAGCCCTTGACCTGACAAGGCGGCGCAGAGTTCTTGGAGAGGCCCTTCCTCTTCCAGACCTCTGTTCTGACTGGGGAGACGTGACACGAGGGGGTGAGCCGGCACCATGTGAGGGCTCAGCATCATTTTCTTTCTGCCTTTGGAGCCTGTCACGTGGGTCGTGGGCAGCAGATTGATGTTCCTAATTACATTTGGCTCAAGCTGATAGTAAGCATTTGTCTTATTCTCAGAGTCTGTAAGGCGAGTGGATGGTGGGGAGGGTGCCAAGAGGCATGCTGGGTAGCCGAGGATGGCAATCTGGGAATTGAAACATCCATGAGAGATAAAGGTGGACCAGTCACAGCCGTGGGGGGAGGAGGGTTTGTGTCTCTGAGTTGCCTTTTCATGGCTTCCAAAAGCTGAAGGTCCTGGAAAGGTTTTAGGGGCACCCTCCTGTCTTGTGGCTGACCTACCCAAGGCAGTCCAGACAGGGACTGTGACCCCTTTTGAGGCTGGACAGCTTGCTGTGGGTCTAATCTAAATGTCTTCTGCTGCAAATCTAAGGTTTATTTTGACTGATTGGTTTTGGTGGTTAGTGTTTGCTGAGCACCTGCAGAGTGCCCAGGGGTACCCAGTAAGAGAAGATGTGTCTCGTGCCAAAACCGGTTTGGCTCAGTGGATAGAGCGTCGGCTTGGGGACTGAAAGGTCCCGGGTTTGATTCCGGTCAAGGGCATGTACCTTGGTTGCGGGCATATCCCCAGTAGGGGGTGTGCAAGAGGCAGCTGATCGATGACTCTCTCTCATCGATGTTTCTAACTATATCTCTCTCCCTTCCTCTCTGTACAAAATCAATAAAATATATTTTAAAAAAAATGTGCCTCGTGCATAGGATGCTTCCCAGCTCACGGTGTGTGCCAACAGGAAACTCATGTCAAAAAGCCCAGATAGCCACAACCAAATGCAAGTGGTGGACCCGGGGGAGGGGGGGGAGAGGAGGGCTGGAGTTGGCAGGAATATGGCAAGGAGGTGGGATGGTGAGAGGTAGGGAGGTTTGGATTAGTGCAGAAGGATGGGGTGAACAATGTGGTCAAAGGTTTGAGGTCCAGCATGGAACCAGGAAGGGTCTGCACGAATGAGATGCCTGAGGCCTGTGGCAACATCTGCTGCCCGAGAGATTTAGTAAAGTTACTCAAAGTCCTCCTGAGTGAAACCAGGACTCATAACCATTCATCCAGCATCTAAACAGGTGGGCGGGGGGCACAAATAAGGCATCCAGGCTGAGTGGCCCTGGAACACACAGGTGCAAAGTACACAAGAATTCGGTTCATCACGGTGTGATTTGAGGCAGGTCTCCTCCCCTCTTTGTTCACTCAGCAAAACGAGGATGGTAATTCCTGTCTCCTCCTGTTGCATTTTGGACTGAAGGAGGAAATGCAAAGAAAATTAGTGTGATGGTCCACAGAGCTCTCTACAGAACCCCTTATTGCTGGCATGTCACCAGTGTGCTTCTTGCAGGCAGGCTCAGGTCTCCTCTGCTCTCCTGGCACCTGGGACACACAGGGGGTGACCCGCCCAGTGGCCTGCTTTGTGGCACACTTGATTTGGAAGTAAATCTTGGTGTAACAGGAAGCCAGCACTGTGGGGCTTGCAGTGAGTGGTGATGCACCAAACGCCCTGCACTCTCCATCTGGCCTCACCTGTCCCCGGCTCAGCCTTAGCCGTTCATTCAGTGGTTCCGTTTAGGCCCAAACAGGTTCTGTTCAGGTACTCCCGCTGGCGGGGTCACCTTCAGGTGATCGTCCCTCAAGCCCCTGCAACAGCCCCGGGTCAGGGTCAGGTCACTGCACCGGACGCACCTGTGTTCTCCCGACCAGCCGCACCAAGGGCGGTGCAGACACACCTGGGACCGGGCCGCCCTGTCCCTAGAAGGCACCTCTTACCACTACGGGTTCCAGGGCCTTGGAGAGCTTGCGTGCCCTGGATCTCGGAGATACGCCTGGGGCCAGTCCCGCCGCGAGTCCTCGTCTAAGTCACTTTCCACTCCAGTCGGGTTCCTCCCTCCGCAAAATTGGCTACGACCCCCCACCCCCCTCCCCGGCCGGGCCAGCTAATCGGATAGAGAATCGGAGTCAGCCGATCGCTTACACAGTCCCACTGCGCGACCCGGTGCCTGGGGTTGGCGGGAGTGAGGCACCTCCCGGGCCCACGAGGCGCCTCCACCGTCCGTCTGGCGGCTGATTTCACCAGCGTCCCCGGGCCAGCGGGGCCGCGAGACCCCCGGCTGCCGCCCACTCCCCGGCCAGCAGGTGCCAGGACCCCGCTCGCCCAGCCGCCCGGCGCCCGCGGGCCCGAAGGGGTTAAGCGCCCGGACCAGGCTCCGGGAGCCGCGGTGCCCGGCGGCCGGCGACACGGGCCGGAGGCGCGGGGCACGGCGGCGGCGGGCGGGCGCTTCCTCCTCCCCCTCCTCCCTCCGCCTCCTCCTTTGTAGCGAGTTCCCGGCCCCTCTCCCTCCCCTCCCCGCCCCCCAGCCCGGCCCGCTCCCTCGCTCCCTTTCTTCCTGCCTCGCCTTCCTGCGGCGAAGAGGCTCATCCATTATCCATGCACATTGGGGGCTGACAACAGCGGAGAGCGGCGGGCGAGCGCCCGCGAGCGGTCCCGGAGCGCGGGCCCCGCGGCTCGGCGAGCCTCCCTCCGGCGGGGCGCGGGGAGCGCGCCCGGAGCCGCCCCGGACCCCTTCCCGCCGCCGCCCGGGCCTCCGGCGGACCCCGGCCGCCGCCCCCGCACGCCGCGCCCGCGCCCGGCAGCGCCCCGAGCTCCTGCATGACTGTCACAAAGGTAAGCGCCCGGGCTGCGGGGCGCGGGGTGCGGGAGGAGGGGGCGCCGGTGCTGGGAGGTGCGGCGCGCGCCTGCTTAGCTCCCCCGGTCCCCGGAGTCGCTCCGGCCCCGAGGACTGCAGAGGGAAGCGGGAGGATGCGGCTCTGGCAGCCGCTGTGGTTTGGACAACGAGCCGGCTCACCACCGGCCCAACCCCAGGGCTGCATTTTTAACCCTTGTCTGGGATGCTGCATTTTTAACCCCTGGAGAGCGCCGTGGGGCGGCCCCGTGGTGTCCCCCGGTGGAGCGCGCCGCGGGGAGAGGGGCTGGCAGGGACCGGTGCGGGCGGTGGGGTGGGAATGGGCTGGCCGCCCAGAGGAGGCCACCGGAGGGGGAAGCCCACCACACCTGCCGGCCTTGCCGCCAATCCCAGGGACGCTGGCCCTCCGCCAGCGCCACTCACTGGAGAAGGCGCTCCCCAGCCTTGGGAGTTGCTACTGGGGATTAGGAAAGGTTCTGAGGTGACCAGCGTGAAGAAAGGGGGAGGGAATGTGACAGGGAGGGTAACATAGGCGTTCTGGCAGCCTCCACATTGACGAGGGGGTTTGGACCTTGCCATAGGGGCCCAGGCTTATTGGAGAGACTCTGGGGTTTCTCTGTTGCGAGGGGGAACGGGTTAAGAGGAAAGCAGACAGGGCACTGGAAGGTGCCCAGGATGAGGAGACTAGCAGACCTGAACTCACTCCCCACTCTACCCACACCCTGGATGATTGTGGCTGGGCCCTTCCCCTGTGGGCCTCAGTTTCCTGTTGTGGAGTAGGAGGATGGTAATATGGGCTCCCAGGGTCATGCTGGGCAGTTGAAGAACAAATACATCGAGGATGTGAACCCACACTTTGGAAGGAGCTCTGTCAGTGGAAGGAGTGCTCAGCCTGGCCTTGGCCTTTGGGTGTTGGCCTTGGTTTTGGTGATCCAGGCACCCAAGGCCAGACTCTGCTAGCTGTCCAGCTGGCTCTCGGGATTGGAGAGTTGGAGGCCAAATGGGAAGGGCGGCTTGCTCGTGGTCAGAGCTGTGCACCAAATGGAGGGTCAGCCATGGGAGCAACGGGAGGGGTAGTTCTGGACCCACCTGATAAGTCAGGGGCAGGCAACCCAGGCCCCCATGAGATCTGCTACAAGACAACGCATTTGTTCGGGGTATTTGGGTTCATTTCCAAAACTGGGACTTGGAGACGTGGTGGGAAGATGAACGTGCGGGCTGAGGGTCCTCCTTAGCTCTGGCTGCTGCTGGCAGGGCTGCTGTGACCCACAGCGAGTAGGATGCTTGGCATTTTGAAATGCTACACAGACTATTCATCTGGGAAGGATAATTATTATTAAGGTTATCAATGTCAAAGAGGAGAAGAAGAATGGACAGGCCTGGATGAGAGATAAAGGGTGTGAGTTTTGTAATAATGACACTGAAATGTGTGTGATTCAGTGCCTCCACTGTGTCTCTTTATTAAAGTGAGCAGACGTCCCGCTTTTGCTCACCTTACTCGTTATCCATATGAGCCCGGGACCCCTACCTACCCAGGAGGCCTACAAGGAAGGTGTGTTTAGGAAGCACCCTTTAACAGAGGAAGAAACTGAGGCTCAGAGGGATACAGGCTTTGCTTGAGGTCACACAGTAAGTAGCAAAGCTGGGGTTTGCCCTGAGGTCTGTCAGAATCTGTGGCCTCTGACCTCCCCGTTGCTGTGCGCTGCTGAGCAGCCTGGAGATGGGATTACTTCCCTGTTGGAGGGTCACTGCTTAGAGGCGGCCCCTGAGGTAGGGAGTCCAGGAAGGTGGGTACTTGTTGGCGAAACCCACTGGCAGGCCTGCCCTCTTGATGCCCAGGGATTATTCAGGAATGCTTCCCCACCCCCACCAAAACCCTCCGTGTCTCTCTCCTCCTGCTCTAACCAGCGTGGCATCCGTCTAAGCCAGCTCCGGGGATTAGATAAAATCCCCACCTTAACCCTGTCTTCTTCACTCTTGTGGGTCCTTCCACCACGTTCCTGCGAGGAGGGCTGGCGGAGCAGGCGGCTGCAGGAGAGGGCCTGGTGCAGCCCTGCTGCCGGGAGCCTGCTGGAGGAGGTGGCTCTCCAAGCTCCAGAAGAAGCCAGTGCTCGGAGTCTGAAGGCCGGGCCTCTAGTCCTGAATCAGCCACTAAGAAGGCTGTATGACCTTGGGCCAGTCAGTTCCACCTCTAGGCCTCTACTTTCCCTCCTGTGAAATGGGGGAATTGGTTTGGAAGATGCCTAGAGTGCCTTCTGCTGGGCCTTTAGACATCGTCAGCTTCAGCAAAGGAAGTCAGCTCTCATGGGGATTGGGGGGATCTTCATTCTCTGTTTGGTTATAAGACAGATATGAAGAAGAACCCTAGAGGACATGGGAGGTGGGATCACTGCTTACAAACTGGGGGTGGGGGACAGGGGAGGCAATAGCTTAGGGGGTAAGGCCTCAGCCCTTGTTGCTCCTCCTCCAGGCACAAGGTCATTCATCCCTTCTGGGGGAGCCTAGCTCCCTGCCTCTTGGACAGAGCTTTTGTGGCAGGCCCCCGGAGGGCAGAGGTTGGGTGTGGATTGCAAGAGATTATTTTTGTTAGTCCAGAGATCCTGGAAAGCGGAGGAGAGGAGATCAGAGGGGCGAGCTGCTAGATGGTCTGTAGCACTTCCTGAGGGGAGGCGGGCCTCTAGGTCCCACTTACCACCCTGCCTCTCATACACATCCCTGATCTCCTTCATGGTGGGGTGCAGCTGGTGGAGTTGCATATAAAGCCTGGAGGTGAGGGGGGTAGGACCTGGAGGGACCTCTGCCGTAATCAGCACTAGAGGTACAGAGCCATGCGGATGGTGACCTTCTAGCTCGCTGGCATTGCTCCTGGTTAGGATGTTTCAAACTATATTTTATTGTGGGTGTCTAAGAAGCTACCTTAGTTTCCTTATGTAATGAGGAGGAGAAAGGAGTGGAGAGAGAGAGAGAGAGAGAGAGAGAGAGAGAGAGAGACAGACAGACAGGAGAGAGAGAGGAGTGGGAGGGGCCAGAAACAGCTTCCTGACCTTGGTCAGCCACAGGAGAGCCAGGCTTCACCTCCTCCAGGTTTAGCCTAAAATCCTTCCATAGGGCAAGTTAGGGGAGAGGAAGCAGAGGCTGCTTTCCTAGTAACAACACGATTTTATTCCAGACGATTCTACTCTGAGTTCTCATGCCTGCTTTTAGTAATTTTTGTATCTGTATTCCATGTCAGCAATATGCCAGACTAGCAGTACCTCTCCCGTTCTTCATACCCTTCCCGAAACTGCCGTCACCTGGAGAAAATAGAGGAAAGCCGTCAGCACTGTGAGCAGACTACAAGTCAGTGGGCATTGGGAAAAGGTCCTTTGGTGTGATTCCTGGCTTTTGTCTGTGATGCGACCAGAGACGGGGCTTCTGGGTAAGCAAGGTGGTGACTGGTGGCGGGGTGACTGGTTCCCTGGTGTGCTGTGTTAGGTTAGAGCCGTGAGCTCAGTGCTTTCCAAGCTCTTGAGGCCAGTTTGGTGGGTGTGCTGTCAGGAATAACGTACCCTGAGCCTCAGGAATGCCTGCCGCACTCCAGGAGAACTAAGCAGGAGGATGTGGGCAGAGCGGAGCCCCTGGTGCCAGCACTCCCCCTCGGGACCTGATTTCAGGTCCACAGGCAGCACGGCAGCCACTCCCGGGCCCTCCTCCTGCGGATCAGTCCTCTCTCTCCTGCCCCTGTCCTGGCAGAGCTCAGCGCACTGCTGGCCGCCCGGCCCCTGCTCAGTGTGACAGGACCAAGGATGGTGTTGCTCTCCCAGGTAACTAGTACCAGTTAATTGTTTGACAAAGATCACGTGACTCTAGGGCCCCTATAGAGTGGCTTGTAGAAGAGCAGCATGTCTGAGCTGTCAAATCATCGAACCCTCTCCCCTGATAGACGAAGGAGCTGAGGCCCAGGGTGCAGAATTGGGAGCTGCCTAACGTCACTCAGCAAGGTGGAGGCTGAAGGGTCTGGAGCCTGGTCCCCCTGACTGCTGGCCAGTGCTCCTTACCCCTGGCCGCTCGGTGAGGGGATGTCAGGCAGCCCAGTCACAGGCCGCTGTTTCCGCCCCGCTCCGGTGACCACACTCCACAGGCCAACCAGGACTGCCGGGGCCTGGCTTTCCCTCTGCTGGGCAGCCTCTCCCCTTGGGGACCATGTTGGGGTTTAAAGTGTATGGGAGCCCTAACTATACCCAGGGTCAGGATGGGAAGGGAGGGAGTGCGAAGCCTCTCTATCTCCAAATCCTTGACCCAGAATCTAGCCTATGAGGAGATGCCTGGGCTCCATTCCTCTCTCCCCTTCCCCACCCCAACATCCCCCTTCCCAGCACCTCTTTCCGCCTGGCTCTTCCCGGGAGAAGAGATATGAGAGCCACCATGTCACAGAGCCTCAGGTAAAAGGCACACACCCAGCTCCCAGCACTTGGGGGCGGAGGGGGTTCTGCCTCTCTATCTCTTGCACTCATCATACCTCCTCCTTCCTGTCAGCTCTCCCAGATACGGAGCATTCTCTGAGGCCCACAGTCACTCACTCCTTCTAGCTAGCACCCTTGGAGCCCCTACTCAAGGCCAGGCATCAGGGTGACAGAAGGCGTAAGCCATTGCCCCTTCTGTCCAGAACCCCTGAGGAGATAGAGAGGAAGGAGAAGCCCTGAGTTAGGAGTCTTGAGGTCCAGGGGAAACAAGCCAGGAGAGATCTGTCTTGCTTGCATACTATAGGATGCTCAATAAATACAGGCCCGCCAAAACCGGTTTGGCTCAGTGGATAGAGCGTCAGCCTGCGTACTGAAAGGTCCCGAGTTCGATTCTGGTCAAGGGCATTAATACCTTGGTTGCAGGCACATCCCCAGCAAGAGGCAGCTGATCGATGATTCTCTCTCATCGATGTTTCTAACTCTCTGTCCCTCTCTCTTCCTCTCTGTAAAAAATCAATAAAATATATATTTTTTTAAAT